CTTGACAGTGGCATTCCTGTTTGAGGTGCAGTGACGTTTAAGGGCCCAGAGATCACGAGCATCCAGTAGAGTTTTACGGCCTTGACCCTTACGCACAGCGATTGTTCCAGATTCTCTGAATCTTTTGATGATGTTATGCACGGTTGATGATGCTAACTTAAAAGTCTTTGCTATTTTACACTGGGTAACACCATTCTGGTATTGCTGCACTATCTTTCTATGCAACAATGGTGGAATTCGTGATCCTTTTACCATCTTGGCTTCTGAGAGACACTGACACGCTGAGAAGCTCTTTTTATACCCAATCATGTTGTCAATTGACCTAATTAGTGTTAATTGTTCTTCCAGCTGTTCGTTATATGCTCAGTTTCCTTTTTCCAGCCACTTATTGCTACTTGTCCCAACTTTTTTGAGATTTGTTGACATTGTGAAATTTTGAATCAACATATTTTTCCTTTAAAATGTTACATTTACTCAGATTAAACTTTTGATCTGTCATCTATGTTATATTACAAATAAAATATTGACATTTGCCATCTCCACATCATTGCATTCAGTTTTTATTCACAATTTGTTTAGTGTCCCAACTTTTTTGGAATCTGGTTTGTGTATGTATATATATATATATTTATATATATATATGCACACACATACGTATATATATTTAAATAAATTATTGACATATTTTTTAAATGCTTTAACTGATATTTTTTCACATTTTTGTACAATTTTAACTTTTTTTTTGGGGGGGGGGGCGGTGGTGTTGAGTGTTTCTTTTATTTACCACGATGATATATGTTAAGTGTGCTTTAATAACTCTGATTTTATGGTGGTAAACAAGACCGTTTTATGGTGGTAACATGATGGAACCCACAACACTATGTTTACAGTGTTAGCACATAGCTTAGCGTAGCTAAGCTAACTATGTAGAGATGTGCTAAAAGTTGAACAGATCAGTTCCAACACACATACAGTTATACCCAGACATTGTTCAGACATTGTTTCACAAAATGATCGATATCGAATTTTTGGTAAAGTGATTGGAGAAGATTCCTGACATCTGAAGCCAGGTACATGCGGGTGATGTTTACTTTTCCAAGCCAGACTGGACTATGTTCTGCATTCCGCTCATTTGCGGTCCTTCAAATTTTCTAATTTTGGGGGTTAAGTGAACACTGCGCTTTGCCGAACCATTTTCCCGGTTGGAACATCCTCTAATCCAGCAGAAACAGCCATTGCAATTTACTTAAAGAAAAAAACATACAACAAAACTTACTGAACTGGCGTCTGCAACTAGAGCCAGCTAGAGCCAGCTTACCCGCGAGGACAGCGTTCAGGATCTGCCCCGAATGTTAACGTCACATGGGAACTATGTGTAGGGCAGTGGCTTAAATATGTCAGCGGAGGCTGCCAAGGTGTCATATTTGTTCTGTGGGTTCAGGCAGATGGTGTAATTTGTCCTTCAATGGACACCGTACTTTGGCTTCTGGTACCGTGAGCGGGCAGGATTTCAATCAGTGTTTGCTTATGATTTGTAAGGTAAGCTCTGCTAATCGCTAGCTCCTCACTATAACCAAATATTTTGTAAACCCTGTTAGTATAAATTTTTTTTTTTATTTATTTATGCAGTTAATGAGATGTTGGTGCATCACCTGACAAAGTTTTGGGTGTTTAAGACAGTTTTATAAATATCAGCTGTAAACTTTGCCAGTCGTTCATTTGTTTCTTTTTATGTACTTCCTGGGTTATGTGCACGACTTAGTAACCTCAATAATCTCTTTTTAGGTTTTATGACAAATGATTTAATTTTGCATTGTTTTTAGAAATATATATATATATTTGGAAAACTGCTTTAATGTGAGTTATGTTAACACGCAGTGTTTGCTTATGGTTTGTAAGGTGAAGCCACTGGCAAGTGCACCGTAAAAACTTCATGGTCTCAACCACGATCCAAACCACCGTGTGTCTGACTCCTGCCTCACCCTGCACTCCGACAACAACCCTTAATACACAACGCAGAGCTTTTGGAAGTAGTGAGGTGTCATTTCACACGGATAGGGTTACATATGTATTGTACTAACCGGTGTACTTTGGTTTGTGTGCTTTGGTTTCTAAGCACATTATACCCACTACAAAAATGTGGAGTACACCACTGTTTCTAAGCACAGTATAACTATTACAAAAATGTAGATTACACCACTGCCTCAGGCAGATGGTTGCGGAGCATTAAGTGTAGAACCACTAGACACGAAGATTTTCTACTCTGAAGCTGTTCGACTCATAAATTCCTATCCAAGAAAATCACTGTTAGGATAAAACAAAGTCACTGTAATACCACTTTAATTGGTAATATGTGACTTATCTGTGCTGCTGATTATCCATGATGCTGATCTCATGCTGCTGATTATCTCACACTGTTGTATTCATTCATACCCATCTGCTCACCACAGACATGTTCAGGCTGCTGTTGATACACCATATTGTTTTACATTATTAGTGCTTTTGGCGTACTGTTTGGCATTCGTTTAGCGTATATCTTAGTGTATATCTTAGGTCCTTATATGCTGTTTTTTTATACTTTATATTTTTGCTATTTTTGGTTGTAACGAGGACCCTGAGTACATAACTTCGTTCCACTTCATGTACCACATGTGAGGCGAATGACAATAAACTTGACTTGAACTTGATACGCTTCCATTAGGTAAAATTATTAAACAGCATGGGATGAATTTTCATTGTTATGCTGATGATACACACTTATATTTGTCCATGAAACCCAAGAATCCAATCAGCTACTTGACTACAAGCATGCTTGAAGGACATAAAAACTTGGATGACCCTTAATTTTCTCCTTTTGAACACAGACAAGACTGAGGTTTTGGTTTTTGGACCTGAGCATCTTAGGAATAAATTTTTTGGTCTTTTGCCCTCCTTGGATGGCATCAGTCTGGCCTCCAGCTCCAAGTTAAAAATCTTGATGTTATTTTTGATCAGGAAATGTCTTTTAACCCTGACATTAAAAATGTTACTAGAACTGCCTTCTTCCACCTGCGTAATATCGCTAAAATTAGAAACATCTTTTCTAAAAATGATGCAGAAAAACTGGTTCATGCATTTGTCATGTCTAGACTGGATTATTGCAGTGGTTTGTTATCTGGGTGTCCAAATGCTTCTTTAAAAAGTCAAGTTGATCCAAAACGCTGCTGCCAGAGTTTGAACTGGAGTTAGTAGGAGAGATCATATATCTCCCGTTTTAGTTTCCCTCCATTGGCTGGAGGTTTCTTCTTCATGAGGGAGTTTTTCCTTTCCACTTTTGCCTTCATGCTTGCTCAAGAAGAGAGTCTGCAATGAAGTTAAACTCAAAGCAATCTGCTTTTCCGATAAATAATGTTAACTTACTTTAAATGTATATGAATATATATATATATATAT